CCATCTATAGACTTCTTTGTGTGCGTGCATGTGTGTGCATGTATGGGTGCACATGTATGTGGAGGCCAGAGGATAACTTCAGCTTAGATACTGTCCATTTTGTTTTTTCACAGAGCTTCTCACTGGCCTAGAACTTCCTGATTGGCTATGTGCACTGGTCACTAAGCCCCAACCATCGTCCTGTCTCTGACTTCTTCCCAACCAGCTAACTTCTTTTTACATGGTTCCTGAGGGATCAAACTCATGTCCTCTCTCGTAGTGCAAGCCCTTTACGGACTCATCCGTCTCCGAAGCCTGCTTATAGACTTCTAAGGAATAAAACCAATTATCAGGTTTAGATTCTCAGATAATAAGAGAATTAAAAGGGTTATTTTGGGGCTCTGTAAATCTTAGGATGCTCCAAGGTATGTTGGAACTTGATTGGTGAACACATGGAGATATCTTTAGTGTTTTGAACATCAATGAGGAAGTCTGTACAGATATAGAAATTCAGAATTTCTAATTTGGCTTTAAGACTGTGCTGTGAGATTGTGTCATTGAACCTCCCTGCTGTGAAAGCTCCTGTACAAACCTGTAGGAGAAAAATCAGATCATTTGATGGACAAACCAATGCATACCCAGAATCCAGCCAGCTCATGGATGCAGTCTTTTTCTCTTTTGCCATCTTTTTTTTTCTTTGTTTTAATTTGAGTAAAAACGTTTTTGTCTTTGGAAAATAGGTGTGTGTGTGTATGTGTGTGTGTGCGTGTGTGTGACTGTGTGTGACTGTCAACTTTGATGGATTTGTTGGAATGCTGTTTGAAAGGAATATGTTTAACTAAACAACTTCCACCCTCATAGTTTTAATTAGAACCTTCTGTATGATGTGTCTGTGTTTCTACATTTGGAAAAGCATCAACAAACTGAATCAAAAGGATTATTCATGTGGAAAAGATTCTCCTATTAGAGATCAGGCACTTCAGTGTGACAGTATATGAATCACACAATGTTATGTTTTGTTTTTAGAGATAGTCTCATGTAGCCCAGGGTAGCCTCAAACTCATTATATAGCTAAAGATGACCTTAAACTTCTGATCCTCTTTCCTTCATGTCCCTAAGGTGAAGATGACTGGAGTGTGCCATTACATCCAGTTTGCGCTGTGCTGGGGACTGAACCCAGGGCTTCCAGCATGCTAGGCAAGCTACATCTGGAGCCATTATTGCTTACTTTTGAAGTGAAGAAGTTTGCTGTTCTCAAAACTTGACCTCCTTTATAGCACATGGCATTCACACATGGCATTTCCACTCCAGCCCCCCCCACCCTTTCTGGAATCAGAGTGAATTCTTGCAAAATCTGTAGTAAGGCCATGTTCCTTTTATACAATAAGTTAGTACATAAAGGAATGTTGGTTGTATGTGATCAATGATAAAGGGGTACTTTATTATGTTAAAAATGAAGCAATATAAAATTCACCATTTAAACCAATTCTTTGCAGAGAATTAACTAACACATGTTTCTCCCACAAACACTTTTCTTCCCGTTTTCTAAAGCTCAAGATGTTAAATTCCAAAAGGATAGGATAAAGACTTGATTCTGATTTGCACTGACGGCAACAAAGGTAACTGATTGTCAGGGTTCAAAAGGTACTGTCTTAGTTTGTTTCTCCATTGCTGTGACAAAACACTCTGACCACTACCAACTTGGGGGAGGAAAGGGTTTATTTGTCTTACATCTCCCAGGTCACAGTTCATCAGGGAGCCCAAGGTAGGAACTCAGGGCAGGAACCTGGAGTCAGGAGCTGGAGCACAGGCCATGGAGGATCACTGCTTACTGACTTGCTCCCTGGCCCCTGCTCAGCCTGCTTTCTTATGCAACCCCTGCCCAACTGCCCAGGGGTGTCACCACCCACAGTGGACTGGGCTCTCCCACAGCACTCATCAAGAAGATGCCCTTCAGACATGGCCACAGGCCAGTCCAATAGAGGCAATTCCCCAGTTGAGGCTCCCTCAACCCAGGTGTGTCAAGTTGACACTAAAGTTATCCGGCACAGGTACTATTAGGACCTAGCAAAAAGCCAGCTCCAAATTCAGTAAGCAAATATATTTCTGGTACTATCATGGATTAGGTAATATATTAAAAACACAAAGAATATTTACACAGAAGGGATAGTCCTTATCTCAAACACGTGTTTATCCAGTTGGAGAGTTCTGAAAAATAAAAATAGAAAAATCAGTGAACATAGTAGGTGCTATGGGAACTCAGGACTGAAATAAATATGAATTGACAGGGGAAAGTTCTGGAAGGACACGACTGAAATCAGAGCCTGGAAGCAGCTCTTGTCTGTCCATTGGGGAATGACAGATAGTTGTGTGTGTGTGTGTGTGTGTGTGTTTATGTGCATGATAAATTTGTTTATGCACACATGAGCAGATGCCAGAGGATGCCTGTTGTCCTGCTCTACCCCTCTCTGCCTTATTCCCTTGAAACAGGGTCTCTCTGAACCCCGAGTTCGTTTGGTGATCAGTAAGCTCCTGTCTCTATGCCTCCCAAAGCTCTGAAGTAACTGGCTTATATGCAGACCTCACTTACTATGTGAGCACTATAGATTCAAACTCAGATTCTCAAGTTTTAGCAGCAATGGTTCTTTCCCATAGAACCAGGTCCTCAGCCCTCAAAGGGCCTTTTAAATATATGCAAGAACATGGTTAAAGGCCCAGAGGCAGGGAGACAGATAAGTATTTTCAGAGTATTATGATCTACTTCTAGATTACAGTCTAATGTTTTCTTCACGGTCCTCAAGATAACTTTTCCTTCATAATTTAGAGCTGGGGAAAATGAACCACTGTTCTCCCTATTTGTATGCCCCTTGCAAATGCTCAATGTTTATCTGTACCACAGAGTTACAGCATTTGATTAATCTCAAAATGGAAATCCTTGCTTCTCTTCTTCCCCACTTAGGAGCTCATGACCCTCATGGTGAACCATTGTATACTTGGTCCTTAATATAGAATTGTGCTCAGAGTCTTCAATTAGGCAGCATTAACCACAGCGCAACATGGTATGTTTTCATAAATACAATAATAAGAACAAAACACAGGGAACTGGAGAGATGGCTCAGCAGCTAAGAGTGCTTGCTCTTCTTGCCTAGGACCCAGATTCAGTTACCAGCACCCAGAAGCTGGCTCATAACTGCCTGTATCTCCAGCCTCAGGAGATGCAGTATATTCTTGTGCCCTCCAAGGACACTGCACTCATAGGCACAGTACCCTCCCCACCCCCCCACACCTAAAAATAAAATGAATCTTAAAAAAGAACAAAACACAAAGAACGAAGATGACATTCGTGTAACTGAGTTGGTATTATCTGGAGGAACTGAGCTGTGTGCAGGACCATCTGTTTGAGGCCTGTCAATCACTCCTGCCCATTCATAAAATCAGCTAGTTCTGTGAAATTATAAAGGCAGTGAGTGGTTTTGCCTATTTTTACATCAGAAAATCCGAGTGGACAAAATTAAAACAATTCTTGAGCATTTTTCTCATTAGCTTTATGTTCTAACTTGGGACTACTTTCATTTTTTTTCAATATTTACCCCTTTTTGACTGAGACATTTGTACATGACCCCAGGTATATTGGTATATAAAAATCAAACATTTACTGATCATAAATCATAAAGCAATTTATTTTAAAATAATTCTTCAATGTACATGTAATTTTACTATTTATTAAAAAAATGAAAGTAAATTTGCATTGCAATGAGATAGATGTCGTTTTTTAACATAAACTCTTGCATAAATATTTAATACAGTAGGAGACAGAGTATTTTCAGTATTTTTCAGGGTTAATCGATATTTTGATTTTATAATCAGCAATGCTGAGTACACTGCTTCACATAAATACACAGTAGAAAATAGAAATATAATTAGGGTTATTTCAGAAACTGTTAGAAGTTCTGTTCCTAAACCCAAGCCAACTTTCACTGAACTACTGTTATAGGAAATATAAGTCAGCAGTTCAAAGAGCAATTTTTAAAATCAAGCGTTCTAACAATATAACACCCAAATATATGAATTTGATACTTACATGCTGAGGAATGGTGGTAGGAAAATAAGATTCCTTGTTCTCTGTAACTCTAGCATTGTGCTTCTAGAAGACCAGATAACTTTGTGTTTATAGTAAAAACATCAGGATTTATACATACAGTAGTTTAAACTATGAGCTGAGGTGTTTGAGTCCATGTTCATTGGCATTGCATGGTGTGACCACCTGCACAGTGAAGTGTGTGTGTTGTGTGTTCAGAGCCAAGGCTACAGTCAGATTGTGTAATGGAACATGGGAACTCAGAGTCAAAAATATCTTGGATTCCTTAGGTGTTTGATTTTGAATTAAATGTTGGTTGCTGTGCATTCAGAAACTTTTTGTTATTTCTAAACTTTTGGAATCCCCACATTCTTATTATCCCCTCTATATGCAACCCCATACAGAGTCAGGACCCACAGTTTGAGAAGCTGTGATATAATTAACTTGAAATCCTTGGTCCTTCTAAGAAACTAGTGATATTTCCTTCAAAGCATATGCCAGAGATTGAAAGGCTGAAGTAATTTTGAATCAGTAATGATGCTTTAATATATGAATGACTCTTGCTTTGAGTTTGGGCTCATATTTCCTTATAAGAGACCACTTGGTTTAGAGGTCTTGGTTTAGGAAATTAAGTATCAGAGTCAAGCCATCCAGAACTCAAACTATTTTACCTCTGGTTTCTGTGATCACACAGGCTGGCACATGTGAGGTCAGAAGTTGATGTTGGAACATCTTCTTCAGTCACGTCCTCCACCTTATTTTTTTGAGACAGAGTCTCTCTCAGTAAACCTGTAGTTTACCCTTCATCTAGAAATTTTTTATATAACTTGATATGTAACTATGGATAGGAAACTTGGGTTAGCTCTTAGGAGCCAGCACTTGCTACTACTTAGGTCTTTGCCTTAAATATCTTTTCAAAGCCATTGCTTTGTACTTTTCACAGCATGAGAAGCTGATACATGAGTTGGAAGAAGAGCGACACTTGCGTCTTCAGAGTGAGAAGCGGTTGCGGGAGGTGACTCTTGAGTCAGAGTGCAACAGGATCCAGATGCGCAGTCTGCAGCAGCGATTCTCCAGGTACTATTCTTTATTGAGTGTGGTGCTCCCAAGGACTGGCACTCTCTGCACCAATCACATCTTGGATTACCTTTCTAGTATACAAGGTTTTGTTGTGTTTGGAGAACTTCCTAACCATTCTGATCTATTCTGGCTAAGCCATCCTATTTACAGATGGACCAATTTTCTGGAATTTTTTCTTTATACCCTATAGTTGAGCTTTGTTAAAACTGATTGTCTTCCTTCCGTGGTAGCTTTCCAAGGTGTCTTTCTATAAGGTAGTGATGGGTCTGTGGTCTGTGGCTATGTTCTGTTTATGGTCAGCTAGAATAATGAAATTTGTTGGTCACCACAATACTATTATTATACCATGGTATATATGAATGTAATCATTTGTCAAATTCTTATTCTTATGAGTAGCCCAAAATAAAGAATGATGGGTTCCTTTTCAAAAAAAATATTTTTAGTTTTTTTTTTTAGCTTTCTAAGAATTTCACATGTAATACTGTCTCTACCGCATTTCCACCCCTCTCTCTCCCTCCTCCAACACTGCTCCTATGTAAATGTGTTTAGAGCTGACCACTTGGGATTAGGTGACCTGTCAGGGAGTTTGTTCCTGTAGAAAACTCATTCTCCTCTCAGCAGCCATTGGCTGGATGTAGCTCTTCATCTTGAGGCAGGATCTTGTGAAATTTCCCCCATCAACAATGGCTTGTCAACTGGTGTCATTATGCAGGTCTTGTTTAGGAAGCCATATTGTTGAGATCTCTTTGTTATGTCTCCAATGTCATGTTTAGAAGACTATCTAGTAGCAGGTGTCCTGGTCTTCTGGCTCTTAAAATCTTTCCACCCCCTTCCATCATGTTCCCTGAGCCTTAGGTATAGGAATGAATTATAGATGTATCACTTAGGGCTAGGAATGATATAGTCACTTAGTCTCTGCATTTTGACCAGTTATGTATCTCTGTGAAGGTGTTCATCTATTGCAAAAAGGAGCTTCCTTGAGGAGGAGTGAAAGCTACACTTTTCTGTGGGTACAAGAATATTCATTTAGAATTCAGTTAGAAATTATACTGGTTTGGTTTAGAAAAGCGGCAGTAATATGTTCTCCCTTGGGGTTTATGACCTCCCGCCACTTGTAGTTGCTGTTCCTTTCTTTAAAAAGATACAACTAAAATTTGAAAGGAGGATTTTGAAAAAGTAATTCTTATATTTAATTCCACACACGGTCTTCGAACTGCAATTACATTAATAACAGGCCAGGTGATGGTTCAACTTGTTAATATTAGAATTAATGAAGTGACAATGGAGAAAATAACAAACTTGTGCATTAGAGACCTGTGTCTACTTACAGGTCCCCTGTAAGGACAATTCACTTTTATTTGTACAGTTAACCATTTATATTAGAAAAATAATTCATTTCGCTTTTTTAAATTTTTAAAATTTATTATTTTTATTTTATGTGTATGAGTGTATTGCCTGCACGTACGTGAGTGCACCGGTGGTGTGCAATGCTCTGGAGGTCAGAAGAGGGCTTCAGATTCCCCTGGAACTGGAGTTAAGGATGGTTCACATCTGCCATGTGGGTGCTGGGAATTGAACCTGGGTCCTCTGCAAGAGCAATCAGTGCTCTTAACTGCTGAGCCCTCTCTCCAGCCCCTCATTTCATTTTTATACCTTGAGATTATCCTAGGCTGTCATGCTTGAGAAGTTGCCCTAAACTGTGAGCACAGTCTTATGTTTCCCTCATCACTGAGATTTATGTGACTGTGTTATCAGTGCTGAATAATAGCAGAACTTCATCATGACGTTTTTTATAATAACAGTTTAATTTTTTATTTATTTTTATGTGTGCATATTTGTGTGTGTGAATATGGGTATGCGAATGTGATGACACTTGTGTGGATCAGAAGGCCCCCTGGGGTGTTGATGGCGCTCTTGTGAATCAGAGGACACCCTCGGATGTTTGTTGGTCCTCGCTTCCCACATGGTTTCAGACAGAATCTCTTTGCTTTCTTTTGCTGGAAACACCAGGCTAGTTGGTCTGCAAGCTTCCCAGAATTCCTCTGTCTCTCCTCTCATCTTCCCATAGGAGCACTGGGAATCGACACACATGTGCTCAGCATCTGATCCTATCTACGTAGGTTCTGTGGATTTGAACTCAGATCCTTTCACTTGTGTGACCGTTGTTTTGCCCACTACTAAGTCATCTCCCCAGCTCTACCTTAATTTTTTTTATGTGCTGTGAAGAGAGACCTAACTTGAGTCTTGAAATCATTTCCCTCATGTCTAACACCATAGCTGATCATGACCTTTGTTTGGGTGCTTCTTCAAAGAACATGGTAGGAAGGATGAATGACTCATTTATGTTCATTATCATAGTTTAATATCCTGTCACACTCCTCAAACCCATGAAAGCACTCAGGTGCTATAGAAAAGCACCAATCAATATTCCATCATATCCAAGCCCCACCCTTCACAAGCTATAATTCATACCACCTTACCTTCAATTCTTCACCCCTTTGATGTGAACTCTCACTTTATGTATACCAACTGGTAATAACAGAGCCCCCTCTCCAAACTAACTTTATAAGAAGCCTTATTGGGAGTCCTTGTCATTTTAATGACAGGAAGGAAGGGGGCAGGGCTGCTCTTCACACTATCTAATTGAGACGTCTCTAAATTCAAGCTATTGATTTCCATGATGGGAGACACAAGACACAGTAAATTATTTTCATATGATGCTAGGTGATGCTAGGTCACTGGTTGTAAATCAAATGACAGTCGTGTACAGATTTGAGTTATACAAGAGTCCAATCTCTATTCTGGCCTGAAAGAGAAGATAATTATATGTACAATAAATATCAGTTGGTTTTCCATATTGCTTTTGTGAGGATATTTTGTGAGGAGTTTTCTTATGTAGGGCTTCAACGAAACTGAAAAGTTCAACTGCAATTATAGCCAGAAATTAGCTGGCGGAGGGGGGCATGTATAACAGATAATTGCATAATCATTTGAAAAGATCATTGAACTATTTTTGATAGACTTACAGTTCAAATTTTAGTTTTGGGTGTATTGCTAACAGTGTTTTTTTGTATAGTTCTGTTATTTTAAGTCCTTGTCAGTTTCTCGGTATTGACAAATATGCATATAATCCATCACCTTTGAATGTGGTTGACACCTCAGTGGTTATATAAATAATTTATTTAGTGATTCAAGATATTATATTGGATCTAAAGCATTTTAAAGTTTTATTTTGCCTTTATGTATGTAATTATGTATATGTGTCTGTGTATGTGTCTGTGTATAAGCATGTGGGTGCAAGTGCCTGCAGGTGCAAGAAGGTATCTGAGTCCCAGAGCTAGAGTTATAGGCAGTTGTGCAATGCCTGACATGGGTACTGGGAACTGAACCATAGACCTTTACAAGATCAGTGAGTGCTCTTAACCATTGAGCCATCTTTCCATCCATGAATTTAAAACTTTTACATTCATAATGTTATCCTGTTTCCCCCTGGGTTGACTAGTTCACTTTACATGCAGTAGTACCTGGGGCTGGGTATTTAAAATCAAGTTAGTAAGCAGCTTTCTCAAGGAATGTGGGGTGGCTTACAATAGTAAATAAACTTACAAAAGGGCTGATCAAAGAAAGACAGGAACGAAGACTACAAGAGGATACTGTCAGAGCTAACTATAGTCATAACCAACATGATTTCTAAGAATGGAAATTTAATTAAGCTCTGCTATTCCTGGCTGGCAGGTGTAAAAGGAAAACATCTGAAGTAGGTCATGTTTGTCTAATCACCTAAGCTCCTACTCCTAGCTCTGTAGCGAGCTCATAGTAGAATGTAGACAGACCCCCTCATAGACATCACCAAGGGATACATCAGATAAAGGTTCACAGTGTACAAGCAGAGTAAATGAAACTGCTTCTGATATCTCACATATCAGAACAGTTAAGCAGTTTCTGAATTTCCTAACATAATCCTAACATAGGAATACTGGTTCATATCTGAGGGATCTGATGTAACAAGAACCATTCTAGTGGCTGAGTTTCAAGACTCAAGTTAACCATTGTACTGAAAGTTCCTGAGAGAATCTGTATGTACACATCTTTCTTCTTAATTTCCATATGCATGTGGGTGTTTGCATGTGTGGGGGTGCACTTGTATGTAGTACATATGTATGTGCATGCATGCACATTTGGAGGCAAAGGTTGTTATTGGGTGTCTTCCTCCATTCCTCTTTATTTACTGAGGAAGGGTCTCTCACTGAAAGCAGAGCACACACCAAATTGACTAGTCTGGCTAGCCAGCTTATGCTAGGATCCTGTCTTCTCCTGCACAGAAAATCCTCCCAATATTTATGTGGGTTCTGGGGATCAAATTCAGGTCCACAACTTTGCACTGAGCAGTCCTCCTCATATCCACACCTATCTCTCCAATATTCCTTTAATGAACCTTCTGCACAGAAGTATAAGACACTAATGCCTGAGTGAGCCTAGCAGAAGTATTTCTTGGTTTATCTGACAACAGGATAGACCCAGGAGTTTTTAAGCAGAACACAGGAACTCCGGAAGCCAGCTTCATGGGTGAACTGAGACGGTAGAGAGGGAAGTGAGTAAAGAAGATAAAAGCTTGGGCAGGTAGGGCTGTGGGGGAGACTTCAGATGTCAGGGTGAATGAGTCAGGAGAAGCAATCCAGGGCCTGGTTTGATGTACTTTCAGCTGAGCTCTTTGCTAGTAGCCCTGGTGGCCTTTGAACTTCGAAGGTACCAGGCAAACATGAACATTTGTACTTAATGAATAGTGAGATCAACTGCTAATAAAAATCCATGAACATATGTGAACAAGTGTTTCTGTTTTGGTCCCCACCAAACCTTGAACTTCAAACTTCCCTCCTCACATGTGACTAGGGGTGGTGATTAGCACTAGTCCACACTTTGAGCAATTACAAAACTGGTTATATAGCCATTGGTTTCAAGTTAGCTTTAAACTCATGAATCAGAAATTGTGGGACTGG